TATATATATATATATATATGTGTATATGTATATGTGTATGTGTATATGTATATGTATGTATGTATGTGTGTATACATGTATGTATGTATGTGTGTATACACGTGTGTATATATGTGTATATGTGTGTATATATATGTGTATATATGTGTATGTGTGTGTATATATATACATGTGTATATGTGTGTGTATCTGTGTGTATATATATATATATATACTATGTGTATATGTGTGTATATATGTGTGTGTGTGTATTTGTGTGTGTATATATATATATGTGTATGTATCACAATGAACAGAAACCCTTTTTCATCTGTATAATGAATCACACCATTCCTCCAGGGTGAAGCGAGTCCCCACCGTCAGCTTCGGTTCCTGGAGCAGCTGTTAACTTTAGTACCTGGCTGCAAGAAGGCTGCTGGAAACCGACTGGACCAAGAGATGCTGCTGAACGAGCTCTACGCTGCTGACAATCTGCCTCACTTCACACAGATGCTCAAACCCACACTGGACCCCTGGCCTGCAGACATCAAGTATGTATGCTGCTATATCTCTCTGTTTTTATCTGCTGCATGTTGTCGTCCTGTCTTTTTAAAGTCCAAAGCAAATGAAAAAAGCCTTTTTACCTCTTTTCCATCACATCCCAGTAACTGCAAAACAATGTATTTCTTTGTATTTTTATATCAAACTCCAATCATCTTTTCTTTCTTTAAGTCAAAATATGAGGTGTGCTTGCGTAAGCTAGTACCAACTAATTTCAACCAGTAATATGTCATCCATCCATCCATCCATCCATCAATCGGCAGCTTTAAGCAACGAGGGAGGTGTGTTGAGCCACAGTCCTCTGTATTGTGCTGCACTAAGCCCGCCCACTTTTTAGTGGTCCAACCAAATGCAAAGATTGGATTCAAACCGCTCAAATATTCAGTTTCACTGAGAAATATTCACAGTACAAAAGCTAAAGACGCTAACTTCTGTTTCACTGGGACTTTGAGAGTACTTCCAATTTGAGACTGTTTTGGTGGATCTCCATATAATGCATTGTTTGCTGTTGTCCTGCAGCATCAGTGCAGAATTTGAATGAGTCTAATTTGTCTCTTATTGCTATTCCTTACCTCACAGGGCTTTACGCAAGAGCACCAAGTCAGCCCCTAAGCCAAGTAGAGAGGAGGCTGCTGACGTGACCACCCTTCTACAGCTGACTCAGTCAACATTGGAGCAGCTCCAGTCACAGGTACGGGCCTTCCTCTGTTCTCCTTTTATGTGCCTCCTCGATCCTCCAGATTGTGACCCGGAAATCGATCTCAGCGCTCCATCTGGAAGGTCGTCCCAAAGGAAAGGGATCGAGGATGTCAAATGAGATTTGTGTTCCTGCGGCCTGCAGTATGACAGAGCCTTCAGTTGAAACAGGGTGTCCATGCTGGATTAACCACCATGTGAATTCAAAATATTTGCCACACACTATTTTGTAGCACATACTATACATTGAGATGTCCGGACGTGCCTGAATGTCACGGTAACGTGTCTGCTTTGTTCTCCTCAGTGTGAGTTCCTGAGCAGCGAGGCTCAGAGCCCCGGCGTCTTCTCCCCGAGCTCGCTGCGCGTGGCGGCATGCGACCTCCAGCTGCTGATGGCTGCTTTCAGCCATGTCTTCGAAACCGACTTGAGAGCGTTCTGCAGCAGGGACCCCCCCAGCTTCAGTGCAGAGGCCGACGTCTTCCAGAGAACACACCAGCTACTGCTGGCCTTCATCATGGTACTCTTACATACAGTCAGGGCCATAAGTATTTGGACTGTGACACAATTTTTCTAATATTGCCTCTTTACACGACTCCAGTGGATTTTAATCTAAGCAGTCAATATGTGGTTGAAGTGTAGACTTCCACCTTTAATTCAATGGATATAACAAAAATATCACAATAACCGTTTAGCAATTACAGCCATTTTTACACAGCCCCCCACATTTTCAGAGGCTCAAAAGTAATTGGACAAACTAACATAATTGTGAATATAATCATTATTTTAAAATCAGAGTAGATCAGAGTGCTTTACAATAAAGTGAAGAAACGAGAGAATAAAAAGAAACAAACAAATTAAAACATACAAATGCTGTGTGATAAAACACAGGAAGCAGCAGCTAGTTCAATGCAATGATGAATAAATGTTTTCAATTGGAGTTTAAAAAGCTTGCATCTCTTTTAGTTTTGGGTAAGAAATTCTGTAGTTTTCTTATTTGTGTGATGGTTTGTATTTAAAAAAAACAGCAGCAGAGAATGTAAGAAGCCGTGAAGGATTATAAAACAAAGAATTAATAATGTAGGCCGGTCCCAAACCACGAAGATGAAGTTGTAAATCAATCCTAAAAGACACTGGGCCAGTGCAGGTCAACTAAAACTGGGCTCGCTCGCTCATTCATTCATTCATTCATTCATTCATTCATTCATTCATTCATTCATTCTCTCATTCTCTCTCTCTCCCCAGCAAGAACGAGCTCTCTTTATGTCTCATAAAATGTCACTTTTCTCAACATTAGAAAGTTGGTCTGCATCCACTTGTTTATTGCAGCCAAGCCAGTCGTTGGATGACAGTTTGGTTTTCACTTGGGTCCAATGAAATATACATTTCTGTAGAAACAGGGTGCCGACACACATCTGTCTCTACCCGTACTGACACTTGTTTCCTCTTGCGTGTGTCTCGTTTCTCAGGAGCTGGAAATGCTGAAGGAAGTATCAGAAGGTTCTGTATCCATGACGGAGGAAGTGAAGCAGCTCCAAACACAGTCGTGCTACCGGAGCCGAGGGGAGAAGCGCAAGTTACGTAAGGGAATAATCTCTCTCACATGCACACTCACACACAGTACAAACTGTTGCACGTTGTTAAATCTTTGTTTCCTGCTTCCTCTTACTTTGTTTGTTTTCTTCAGCGGACCAATTGGAGGAACTCAGCAGACGAATTCGAGACTTCTTTCCCCTGCTTCCTTCCTGATGGGCTCCCGAGACCGTGGCCATGAATACCATCCAACCATCAGGCTGAATGTCTGTTGACGTGAGCAAAGCACTTCACATAGAGAGAGAGCCCCATCTGTTGTTGTGTTTGAACTTTAAACGTCAAACGGAATTGTGACCAAAAAGGAGTGTTTGAAGGTTAAAGGGACAGTTCACCCCAAACCAAAGCTACATGTTTCCTCTTATCTGCTGTGCTCTCTATCCGTCTAGACTGTCTTGGTGTGAGTTGCAGAGTGTTTGAGATATCAGCTGTAGAAATGTCTGCCTCCTCTCCACTATAATGGAGCTAGTTCCTACATGAAACTTTATCTGGAGTAACCGGGTCATGATTTTGGGAAAGAGACATTGCTGTTGAGGTTTTTTTAATGTATGTTTGGTGCTTTGGGACATGTAGTCCCATCATAGTGGAGAGAAGGCAGACGTTTAGACAGCTGATATCTCCACAACTCACACAACGATCTAGATTGATAAACAGCACTACAGGTAAGAGGAAACATGTATTTTTGGGACAGACTGTGCTTTTAACTAGTGCTAGCTTCAGTATGACTGAGGCGTTGGGCAGGTTGTGTCAACACATAATACTGGCAGCAATATTGTTTATGGAATCAACATGAATTGCTCTAAGATCAGAAGGCTTGAGTGGCTATCTATTGATAATAGTTAAATAATTTAACATTCAGCCTCAACCTAACTATTATTGTCCTCAATATACTCAATGTAAATGTACAGTTTTACTGAATAAATGTTTTAAACTTCAACTGTAGTTCCAACAGGTTTGATATTGTGAAGTGCCATTTATTATTTAGTGATTATCTTTTAGGGCAGCAGCAAGTAGTCGATGGAATTTATTCAGAGAAAAAGCTAAACATTCACTGGTTCATGATTCACCTGCGAGGATCTCCTCCGCTGTTGTGTATCATTTCAGATTTAACCTTATGGATGGATAATAAATGAACATATGTATAGTGCACTGTATGTCCGGCTTAATCCGGATGTTTCCGTCTAGTTTTGCCGATGTTAAACGCTGCCTCCGTTCACTTCAATTCATCAAGACATTTCTCTGTTGCTGTGGTAGCCGTTCACCGTGGAGGCCCGAGAACAAGTTTTCTTCAAGAGCTCGAGGTAACAAGTGGTCAGTATGTGGTTGAAGTATTCCTTTAATTACACACATTGGCCTTCATAAAAATAAGCCAAACCATCTCAGATGGAGACTAAAGCTCAAGGACTGCACCCCATTAGAAATCAAACAGCTGAAACAAAGCTGGTGTCTTGTGTGAACCATGACATGTGTCTGGATTAACAGTATTAATAACCAACAACTAAAGGAAGTGGGCAACGCTTTTATGTTCATTACATACAAGTATGTTTAACAACCCGTCAACATCTCTCCGGTGTCTGGAGAGAGTTCAGTTCAGTGTCAGTAGTCCATATGGATTGAAATGGTTTAAATGTGCTGTAGGACAATGTTTCAAGGTGGTCCTCCGTCTCCACCTGCACGTCTCTCTGGCCCTGGAGGCTCAGCGCCCCCTCACCCCCGCAGTCAGAAGCCCTTGCTGGCCAACCACTCCTTCAGCTCACTGTCGACATGACCCTTGACCTTCAAGGTCATTGTGACCTCGTTGACCTGCGTGGGCAGCTCCTTCCCCATCACCTCCTTCAGATATTGCTTCACGTCCTTCTCCAGAGCCCAGATGTCCCCCTCCACTTTCCGCACGAGCGTTGTCCTGCGGCTGCCGTGGGTCAGATCGGTGTAAACCGGGATGTTGTGCATACGGGAGCGGCGGATCATGTAGGGCAGAGGCGGCGGTGTATCTGCCGGAGGGGTCCAGCCAGACGGGGAAGAGCCGGCGTGTTTAGGCGGAGCGGGGACCCGTGACGGCGGGATGAGCCCCTCTACGAACCTGTATTCCTCCGTAGATTCTGATCCCACCCTCGTTTTTTCTTCTGGAGCATTGTTACAAACAAACCTGAGCCCGACAGCCGCGGCAGGAGGTCCTGGTGACCGGATGTAAAGGCTGAGGGCTCGCAGCGCCCTGCGGACCCCAGTAGACTGAGTGGTGTAGCGGGCCGCCATCTTGTGAAGCAGGCTGCTGCTGCTGCTTCCGAGTTTACAGCGCACATTGCGGGATTTTTCTTCTTCTGCTGCTTTTAATGGCGGTTGGCAAACAACTTTCGGGTGCATTACCACCACCTACTAATCTGGAGTGTGGACAAAGGGTCCCCTCTCTAATACGATCTAAACGGAAATAAAGTTCCATCCAGGGAAACTCACATGAATGATATGACAAGCTGAGAATAGACAACCTCCTGTGGACCCCCCCATCCCAAATCAGAGTCAAACAGAGTTAGATCCACGCATTACAAGAGATAAATGAGGAAAAGCTAATTGTAGATAAAATCTGTTTCGTGGCCTTCATCTGCAAAACTATGAATTTGGCTTTTCAACAAAAGAGAAAAAGTGACAGAATTAAGACAATCATAGAGATACTGGGGATGAAAGAAGGTAAGGCTGATCTGATTCTTGAGATGTTGAACCCTCCTAATTATGATGGACAGGCTCAGGGTGATTAACCTCCTAATGGTGTTGCATAACCTACAATGGAATGCCAGAAGTCTAATTGCAAATGGGCGAGAACTCAAGAAGGTTGTAACTGATCTGAAAGTTAGACCAGATATTATTTGCATTCAAGAAACTTGGTTAAAACCACAATTGGACTTTGTCATTCCAGGATACAGCTCTGTCAGATGTGATAGAAGTGGAAGACGAGGTGGAGGGTGTGTAACATTTATTAAGGATACCTTAGCATACAGAAAGATGAATGTTTCAGAGCAGTATGAATGTATTATGATAGAAGTATGTAGTCCCAGAGGAGATATCAAGTTAGTGAACTTCTATAATCCTTGTGAAAAGCTATCTATGCAAATGTTTCACAAGATATCAGAAAATATTGGAAAAAGAGAAATTTGGTGTGGAGATTTTAATGCTCATAATACATTATGGGGAAGTGAGTTCACTGATACCAACGGAGGGGTATGTGAAGAATTTATAGAGGAGAGATCATTAATTTGTCTTAATGATGGAAGAGGTACCAGATGTTGCTCGATTCAGTGTCCTGCTTAGATCTTACCTTAGTCTCAGGAAATATGAGTCATTTGTATGAATGAATCTAATATACGGAGTGATCACTATCCAATATTATGCTCATTCAAATGTATCTTTACACAGAAGGGTAATATAATAGAAATATGGTGTTTTCCTAAAGCTAACTGGGCAAAATGTGTATGAAGTCATGTGAAGAGATATCTATTGAGGGTGATGTGGACAGCTGTTTGAGAGTAGTGGCATCTATGATTATTGGTGCTGCATCAATATGCATTCCGAAGAGTAAGGTGAGTGGGAAAAAGAAAATGGACCCATGGTGGAATGATGAATGTAAAAATGCCATTAAAGAAAGAAATCATGCCTTCAGAATGGTGAGAAGCCTTTTGACTCAAGATAATCTGATCTATTATCAAAGAAAGAGAGCGATACGGAAAGTTATTAAGTCATCCAAGAGGAATGCATGGAGGCAATTCTGTTCATCTATTGGAAGAGAAATAGAGTTGCGTGATGTTCGGGTGATGATCAAAAAGGTGAGTGGGAAAAGAAAATCTGTTAAAATCCCAGTTTTGATAGATGAATCGGGCAAATACAAATGAGAAAGCAGAGTTATTGGGTAAGAAGTTTGCAAATGTTCATAGTGGAAGTCATTTACATGAGATGCACAGACAGAGAAAAGATGACATTTTAACAGCACATACAGAAGTTAAAAAGGTCAATGAAGGAACACCTCTTGATATTGTGATGACCCCTCCCTTTCACCATGGTCTGTGTCCTCTTTCCTCTCAGTTTGTCTTTCAGGATGTTAATCGGCCACTGATGGGCGACACCTGAGCCTGGTTTGTTCCCATCTATAAAGGCTGCCCCTCTTCTCTGGCTGGGCCCCTTCTCCTCTCTGACTCTTGTTTGGCTGACAAGGCTGCTGCTTTGTTTAGTTTAGTTATTGGTTCATTAAATAAATGTGTATTTATTACTTTTAACTCGTTTTGTCTCTGTTCATGTTACGGCCTTTTGAGCCGGGTCGTGACAATATGGAGTTTACAAGAGCTGAAAACAGTGTTGGAGGGAAGTGGGTAACTGCTCCAGGTCAAGACCAACTATATATGCTACGCTATGTTTAGACAATTAAGAAGCCTTGGAAATGATTCTGAAATGGTTGAATAAGATTTGGAGGGAAGGAGTAATGCCAAGCAGCTGGAAGAGTGCTTTGATTCTACCTTTCGGTAAACCTGGTAAAGACCTATAGGTATATGTATAGCTAATGCTGGCAATTACAGACCAATAGCACTGATATCTCTCTTGTGCAAGTGGGTGGAAAAGATAATCGGGCGCAGATTAATTTATTTTATAGAACAAGGGGGCTTGCTAAATAAATCCCAGAATGTTTTTCGTAAAGGTAGATCGACACTTGACTCTTCAATAAAAGTTAGCAACGAGGCAGAGAAAGAAATAAGTATGAAGGAGATTCTGGCTATAGTTTATTTTGATATAGAGAAAGCATATGACTCCATGTGGAGAGAGGGCCGATTGATTGAAAGGGGTATTGGTGGAAGGATGTATAACTGGATATTGGATTTCTTGTCTCGTCGATCATTCAAGGTAAAAGTTGGAGATGCTGTGTCAGATGAATTCACTATTGTAAATGGGATTCCTCAAGGTATTATTAGCCCTATATTATGATAAATGACGTCTTTATGGACATTGACAGAGATATTGGCTCCTTGCTCTATGCTGATGATGGAGCGATTTGGAAAATGGGAAAAAACATTAGACGTGATCAGTAGCATCCAAAAGGCTATATTTAATGTTGAGAAGAGGTCGTGTGACTGTGGGTTTAAGATGTCTGCTGCTAAGTCTTGCTACATGCTATTTACCAGAAAGAGAAATACAAACAATACTCATCTCAAATTATGTGGACAAAGTATGGAGAGGGTGACAGAGTTTAAATATTTAGGCTCATGGTTTGATGAAAGATGTTTGTGGAGAGCTCATATTAAGCATATTGAAACTAAATGTAAAAAGGTGCTCAATGTTATGAGAGCAGTTTCTGGATATGAACGGGGAGCAGATAAATGGTCACTAATGGATGTCTATAGGGCCATTATACCATCGGGTATAGATTATGGATGTATGGTGTATGGAGCAGCTTCTAAGAGTACATTAGATATAATTCAGTTCAGAGCAAAACGAACAATAAGAGAGGATTTAGTGATGGAAATATCTCTGATAATGTTGAGACTTCAAAGACTGGGAATAAATGTTAAATTGTGCTGGTTCCTGCTCATGTAGGTGTGGAGGGCAATGAGAGAGCAGATATGACTGCAAAGACAGCACTAACACTAAAAGAAGAGGAGATATTGAATATTCCGTTTGGAGAAGCTAAAGCATTAATATGAGGCAGTACGGGATTTATAGCAGAATAAGTGGGACGACAACAAAGGAAGACATAACATTCAGAAACCATAAATGTGAAGACATACGAAGGGAAGTATAGAAGAGAGGTCATATTATCAAGGTTAAAATTCGGACATACAGGACTCAACTCAACACTGTATTTAATGGCATAAATGGACTCAGATAAGTGATGAAACGTTACTCTGAAACTGCACACTCCGGTACAGTAGGTGGCGGTATGTACCTATTCAAGTTGGTTGCGAATCCGACAATCAAATTAGAGAAGAAGAAAAAGGACCAGGAGAAGATTGCGGATATTATATAACAATTGTTTGCCTCCAGAAAAAAACAACGAATTATGCCCAAACTATGGAAATAAACATGTGCTAGAATGTGTTATCGTTCGACATTGGCTGTCTTCGGTAAGTGTAAAACTGTCAAACATGTGCTAGAATGCGTTATCGTTCGACATTGGCTGTCTTCGGTAAGTGTCTAACACGGAAGTTATGAAAGTGATAGCAGACATTTTGAGTGCAAGGCCGAGAACCTTCTTGTGGCACTGGCACCTCAGTGGCTAATCTGTGGCAAGCGTCAGGACTGTAGCACCTCAGTGACTAGTCAGTCAGGAGTCAGTCAGGTGCCACAACAGTGGCAAGCGAGCGGCACTCGCCACTGACTAGTCACTGAGGTGCCACAGTCCTGATGCCTGACTGCCGCTTGCCACAGACTAACCACTGAGGTGCCAGAGCCACAAGGAGGATCTCGCTGTCGCTCCATTTTGAGCCCTTTATGAGCCCTTACCGTAAATCAGCATTAGATGCAGACTTTGCCTAAGGGAATTACCCACAAGTCATTGCAATGTGGCGTTAAACATGGGGTATCCAGTGGACGCATAGAGACGTAAAGAAAAAGGAGGTCATTAAATTTACTCAAACTTTTAGGGTTAAATATGGAACAAAAAATAAACATGAAATCAGAGGATATTTATTTATTAAATATTTGATTTTGTCATTGAAGCTGTTTTGACAAAAACGAGTAAATGGATTATATGAATGACCTCTCATCAGGAGAGAGCCTGGAAGATGTTCAAATCAGGGAGTACAAAGTATAAAATAAATACCCACAGTTGTACATCTTAGTTGTGGACGTTGTCATAGTAACGTGATATGTTGCAGCAAAGTGCTGTCCCATTCCTATTTACACCATTTTCAAGCCCGGCAGTCTCTCACACTCAACCACTCACCAGGTGATGTCAGTGAGTCCTTGAGGGTTCAGGGTCTGAGGCTGTAGGGGGACACTGGGACTGGGCCATTATCTAGAAATACGGAAACTAACGTTGCTGTTTCTTTAATAGGTGTCTTCTGTTGTGTCGCCGTCTTCATGGCACCAGGACTGTGCTGTCTGTCAAAGGAATATGCAACGACGGATATGCAATGTTGTCCCATGTGTCACAAAGGTAAATGACATCTGTTTACTACGCTCGGTCTATCTGGATTCAAACGCAGAGCTGGCTTAAGTTCAGGGGAAGTAACTCGAAAGAGAAGCCAGTCAAGTCTGATCTCGATATTGTGCTCTCAACTGTTTTTGTACATAATGCTAACATAAAATGTGAATGCATAAAGTAACAGTGTGTGAGGCTATGTGGCCTCTCGTGGTGAGGCTTCAGACTAAAAGCATCTACATACCCTCCCTCAGCCTGCTCTTCCCATGCGTGTTGGGTAACTACGGTGGCCTGCAGGCAGAGAGAGGTATCTTTAGGAGCTACTCTTATCAATACTCTTCCTTTCATGACTAAATAATTGCTTTTAATAACATATATACAAGTTTAGAAACAAATACATTCAGAACAGGATTATATGTTAATTATAATTAGATTAGTTTCAATTGATTATACACAAATGAAAACATAGTTATGAATATTCTATTCCATTTCTGCCAATTTATCCCCTGAAATGTTACACACTGTTCCTTTAAAGACAAAACCCAGCTGCAAAGTGAAACTTGTTAAAGACGAGAACGTTTCCATTACTAGATATGTTTTAGTCAGTTTCAGATAGCCCTGTTTTTATGTATATGTTGTATTTATGTATTTTAGTTTAGTTGTATCTCTGTCATTTATGTATTTGGTTTCAATCTTCAACCTGAAGCCGATTTATTTTTGATGAATCGGACGTGCTTATGCATTGTTTGTATGTACTTTGTTCTCAATAAAATAAGTGTTTACTGAAAGGTAACACAACCCATGGAAGCAGGAAGAACACACTTCTAGCTGTCGTTAAAGACGGCACATCATTTATTGATGAAGGCTGGACACACTGTGTGTACATTATGTAGAAACTAGATTTGTTATTGTGAGGGATTTCAATTTTTCCATCAAAACAAGACAAACCGGACGGAATATCACAAGGGAGAGAAGCCAAGCTATGTCCAGTTCTACAATGAGGGCTATGAATTGCAATGCTAGTTATGACACTGAAGAGGTGGTAAATGTATTTTCATATGAATACGACAGACCACAGTCTTATGACTATGAGCCTGCTAGGCATACAAGAGGAACCGAGAACAAGGATTAGAGGAAGTAACACTGTTGCTCACGGTTCAGCAGGTTTCAATTCCCAGAAGTCATTGCTTTTAAATCATATACGTATCCTTCATGTGCAAAATGGACTCTACCACTTTGCACATGCTAAAAGTACAGCTTAGAAGTATTTGTATGTAGCGTAATGCTAAAATAACTACATATAAATAGATTGATTCATTTTCCAGGCTTTTAAGCAGGCACACATTCAAACCTGTTGAGTTCATGGTGAACTCTGCAAAAGGAGCATTACACAGGTTTGATCTCAGGACCTTCATACACAGGTCAGATCTATTCTAATGTACTCGGTGGTTTGACAAGTGATTCAAATGAAATGGTTAAAGTCAACAAGGTAAATACAAGATAAGCAAAAAGCAAACTTGATATTTTGGTTCAGGCTTTGATGGGTTCATCAGAAACTGAAGCCATCACTGTAAAGAACAAATGATCCCTCTGACTTCCTTCTTACTCCAATAATGAGATGCTTTCTTTCTGCAAAAACAACACCCTGAAGTTGAAGCCCATGCGCATGCGGTCACTGTGTTATAGGATGGTGTTCTAGTTAGTCTTTGTAGATTCTGGTCTGGATGTGAAAGTACTTAAACAGCTGAAGTCAGAGACAGGCTTGTTACTGACTCTATCGGGTACAGTATCGCATCTGCTTTGGTTGTAATTGTTATTTCCCATCATGTTTTTGTCTTGAACAGGTACAGTTGTTCGTAGAGACTGCACTCGTCAGTTAGGCACATGGTGCATCTCCTGTGTGAACGGGACTTTTATGAACCAACCCAATGGCCTGACTAAATGTTTCCCCTGCACCCCCTGTGACCAAGGTCAGTCCACAATCAGCTGATCAAGCTCTTTCACTCTTGTCGACAACCTCCTTATTCAGCTTATGAAAAATGCAGTAACACAGACAATATTTGACCGAATTAGTACACTGGACAATATTTACACTTATAATACAAATTGAAATATTAAATAATCAAAATAAAATGCAACGATTTGCAGCCCTGGTAATGAATGCAATTTGATTCAAGCTGAAAAGTGAGCCCTAATAATTGTGTTGTAGCAGGTTTGTGCTTTATATGGAGCCTTGAACGCACCACAGGGATATTGTAGATCTGTCATTTTAGTGTGAGTGATTTCATTGAACAGTTGTCTTTTATTTTAAGCCCACAGAGCAGGTACAGGAGCTCTGATTGGCCAGCTCCTATGTGCAGCTCGGGTAGTTTGGCCAATCAGAGCTCCTGCTGATTCTGATGGTCTCGGTAGCTCATAATCACATGATTCCAAATATTACACAAAGGTCCTGTGTCTATTTACAGAAATGGAATATAATATTAAAAAGAGTCTTTCCATTTAAATGAGAATCGTTGTGTTTTCGTTAGCGTATGTCAGCTCATGGACTCCGCTTTGTCTCACCGCCACGTTTCTACAGAAGTCCAGACTGACAAACCCATCTCTGGCCCCTAGTGTCATGTTTACATGTCTGTTTAACAATGATAGAATGACTGTGTTTCTGTTGGCTTTCAGGTCCTGGTCTCTTTGCCCAACAGGGCTGCACAGGAACAAAAGACACAGTTTGTGATGTTGTCAGTGGATATTTCTGCAAGACCTTGATGGATGAAACAGGATGTAGTTTGGCACAAAAACATACTTCCTGTGACCCCGGTCACAGGATGAAAAGGCCTGGTAAGAAAACTCCAGTCAGACAGTGAGTACGTTTCCATGCACACCACTAACCTGACGTTAACATGGCACATGGTGTAGCTGGTTATTCAGCTCCATGTACACATGGTGCTCACAGCTCAGGCACGTCTGTGACTCCTCCATATCCAGCAGACCTGTCATTTCTCTGCCAGTCTGGTCTCTGGGGGCCTGGACCACCCGGCTGTATTTAGCCTTTCAATACGATCATAGAAATGGAGGACAATTCTATTTATTATCTGTGTCAGACTGGTGTCAGATTTTGACTTTTATTTCAGCATGCAGACCATCATTACATCAAGTGTGACCATATGTTCTACTACTGTAAGGAGGTGCAGCTACAGTAAACAGAAACCTCTCAGACCTGGATTTATCAAGCGCCTCAGAGACCCTCCTGAAGATATACCCCAATCGATCACAACCGGGATACGAGTGTGCATGAGAAGTCCCTCAATGAAGACACAGAGTCTGACAAATGATGGATGTTCACTGGATGATGGCTTCCTGTGTAATTAATCTCTGCTTTGTCTGTTTCTCTAAGGAACCAGCAGAACGGACACAGTGTGTGAAAGTTGTCCACCAGCCTATTTTTCACTGGAGGGTGTGAATTGCACGGTTTGGACTACGTAAGAATTTGTTTGTTAAGGAATGTCTCTTTTCCTGCCCTGTGGCACAAAATGACCTGTGTGTGTGTGTGTGTGTGTGTATACAGTATATGTGTATGTATGTATGTATGTATGTATGTATGTATATATATATATATATGTATGTATGTGTATATATATGTATGTATATATATATATATATATATATAT